GCCCCCTGCAGAGGCAGAGTGTCATGGAGGGGAGGCTGTAGCTGAGAGACACCGCGTCCTGTCCCACTGTCACTGGGCTTATCTGACTGTGGGGGGGAATCTGAGTTCAAGCAGCTTTAACAAAAACTTTCCAGCCTCAGTTTGAATCTGCAGCTTGTTTCCAAACTTTCTAACCTGCGCTGTGACCCAGACAGACAGAGACGGAGGTCGAGTGAAGACAGGATGGAAATAAAAACAAAGCAGGTGAGGACGAGGAAAGTGAAGCCAAACAAGGACAGGGCCTGGTGTAGTGGAGGTGAGCATGTCTGGCGCTGGAGTCATGAATATTTAAACCTCATTCTTGCAGGGCTGTGAAGGGAACACATGAACTTTTAATGAGCGTGCAGGTTAAATGGGACATTTTATGTCCGTAAATGGCTCATCAAGTGAGGCTTAAATGTTGGGTGAATATCAATAAGGACAGAGCCACTTTTACTCCTGCAGCTTAACTGAATACAGACCTTGTCACATTCAAACTGAGTAGCCAGGCAAGAAGGGCTGTGGTCAGGGAGAAGGCCAAGGACCCAGCGGCCCCCTCTGACAGAGATGGAGAAGCTGCTGGAGGACGAGCACCTCAGCAGGTCTCCATCAGTCTGTCAAAGTGAGTGAAAGGAACTGTGAGACTCTGCAGAGGACTCAAACAGAAACTGAGACTGGCCTTGGACTGGGGTGACAGGTTGCCTTCCAGCTATCGGGGGCAACTTGGGATTAAGGGTCGTGCCCAAGGACACTTCAACATGTGGACCAGGGCGAATGGGAATCAAACCGCTGACCGTCTAGTTAGGAAACGTCCACTGTACCTCCAGAGCCACAGACTTCTCTGTTTGCTGTTTATAATGAGAAACATGAAAACAGAAGTGGTCTGGATGGCGTCTGAAGTCACGTGTAAACAGCTGTAGTTCATTTATCACTTAAACATCTCAACTGGAGCGTTACAGTCGGGTCTCGGTTTCTGTCAGTGACAATGAGCTTGTACTGCAACAGTCAGATGGTCAGGTGTAATCACGCCCACTTTAGCTGCTGTACATCTGAAAGCAAAGCTAGTGTGTGTGGACAGCTGCAGCATTCAGATGCTCCTCACACTCCGTTAACAGAATAGAATAGATGGACGACACTGTATCCAAATGCTCAGTAGGTTTGTTCGTCATCTCTGGCTTTAGCTCAGGTTGCCAGACACAGTCTGACGTCGCAGGTTTCTGTTCTGACATGATGGCACCAAACCTGGCAACCTCACTGTGGTCAGTGGTGGAACAACCACTCAGACCATTTACCAAAGTAAAAGCCCCAAACCTCACTGTGAAAATACTCCATTACAATTAAATGCCCTTGATTGAAAATCCCACTTCATTAAAAGTACAGAATCACTAACAAGTCAATGCAGTAAATGTCTCCTGTGACTGACACAGTGTTACATGATCAGATTATTGACCCTGAGTGATCAAAGCTTAGGCTGCATGTTCCTGTTGGAACTGGTTTTATCCAGGGGTTCCCAAGCTAGGGCTCGGGCCCCTCCAAAAGGTCACCAGATAAATCTGAGGGGTCATCACAAGATTCATGAACAAAAGAAAAGTGAAGTTCAGTTTTTGAACTATTCTTCAGTCTTTGTTTTTAGAAATACTGGATCATTTTTCCTGTTTCATCTTCAGTTACTAAAATAAAAACATGAAAGGTTTGGAGCTGCTAACATCTGAACTCAGATCCACAGGTGTCTGAGCCACGTGGTTCACACCCGCCTGTGTAATCTTATGTGTTGTATTCTACAAATTTGTAAAATATTCTTAGGTAAAGTTTTCATCTGAAAAGCGGCCAGTAGCTACCGAAGTCAAGTTAATATAGAGCAGTAATTCCCTCTGAAAAGTAGGGAAGTGTAAAGAAGCAGAAAACGGAAGCACAATAAATCTGTAACCACACTGAAAGTCACTTTCGGTTTTTCGTGTTTAGCGGTCGCCACAGCGAATCGTCACACTGACGACTCGCATGTTGACATTTGGCACATGTTTTATGCCGGATGCCCTTCCTGACTCAAACCCAGGCCACAGCAGCGAGAGCGCTGCGCCTTAACCACTAACCTACCAGGGATGACTAGTTGAACAAACACACACACACTACCACTCTTTATTCAACTAGAAGTAGCTCCAGCCACACACACTTCTGTTTGTGTGCACATTAAACCAATGAGACACAACCTGGTAGTTTCCACGTGTTGGTCGGTGCATCTTTAACTTTGGGCAGAGCTAGCTTTCCCTCTGTATGCTATGCTAAGCTAACCACACCTTGGCTGCAGCTCTGTACTGAATACTGACCTCTTCGTTTCACAGTATATTTCTCAGCATGTTATATTTCCGTTTGTCAAACTGTTTAAGTGTCATCTGGCCTCCTCTGGTACCCAACATGCCATGCAAAGTGTATCAGATGGCTAAAGTCCTGGCTGATGTTACCAGAGAGCTGGTAATGAGCTGGACATGGACGAGGCTTCACTGACTCTGGGGAACAAAGTCTCTAATGGCCAAGTTGATCCTCTTGGTTTCTTCCCCTCTCGGCTGCACAGACTGTCCATTGATGACTTAGACAAAAGCCATTTCCCAGACGGACCAAATGAGCTAGATGCAGACAGGCGTGATGAGTCTGTGTGATACTGCAGCTGCACAACAACAGGCTTCATTAACTGCAGCGGTCACTGGCTGGTTGCTGCAGGAACCCCTGACTCTGTTAAACAAAGCTAGTCTCAGACACAAAACAGCTTTCACCAACAAACCTCTGTCACCCAGCAGCCACTTCATCTGCCCTCCTGTATAACGACAAGCACATGATCAGCCAAGGACTTTGTCTCTGGTAGAGAACCGAGGCAGACGTCTGCGGCACTGTCCCTCCAGGGCCATCAGGAGCAAGTTGGGGCTCAGTGGACACATTGACATGTGGACCGGGGAGAATGGGAATCGAACCACTGACCTGGCTGGGGGACGGTTGGATTGTGTGTCATCTTTAATGCTGCTGTTAACACAACAAATGCAAATAAGAGTCAAAAACCAGTGTGCAACAAGCTGTGCACAGACAAAGCCTGGTGCTGTGCAGGGAGTTTAGAGTGAGGAGCTGGATCATAAACAGGTGTCAGGGTTCAGAGTGTCTTCTCAGCATCTAACAGAGCAGACTGGTCACTAGGAAGCTCCACACCATGACGATCACAGACCTGTGGGCCATTTGATCCATCTACCAGGGCACAATAAGGTTTGAAAGTAAGATCAGACTCAAACCGAGGCCATGACTGATGCAGAATTCAGAGGGAAGCACATGCACATTTTAAACTGTAACAGCCTGAGACTGCGGCGGCTGGTGGAGATGCAGTGGACGTAGTGTAGGTAATTCCATTACAGTTAATGGAGTGTGAACTATCATCCAGACTTTTATAGGAACCAGTGAGAGTCAAACCTGCTCACGTCAGCTCTTCTGACGTCTGGAATGAAAAAGGAAGCAGAGGCTTAACTGCAGGACTTTTCCACCACAGACCAAACCGTTGTGTCAGAGCGCCCTCTGGTGGCCAGAAAGACGGTGAGCTCTGTGTGTGTGTTTCAGTGCCAGGCTTTCTACAGTACTTTTGTGGTAAGTTTTGTTTTTACAGCTATCCGTTTTTGAGCAATTCAGTTTCATTTGTATAGCACCAATGCATGACAGTCACCTCAGGCCATGTGATAGTCGGGTCTAGACCTACAGCGGTAGAGAAAAACCCAACAACCCACCTTGGGTAAGCATCTGGCAACAGTGAGGAGAAACTCCTTGTAACAGAGAAAAACTCCTACAGGCCTCATGTACTTGGATCTTTAACTTACTGGTGGACTCTGCCAACATGGAAGAGGTTGGGCTGAAACAGCTGGCTGTTCTGACAGTTATGTCATCGTGGCCAGATACAGCAGCTACGCTGATCATTTACATCTTCTAGTGACATCTCTGCAGGTTTAAATATGGTTTTCTAACATCTCTAATTTCATCCCCAGGCGAGTTGTCAGGAGGTGGAACCGGCCACAGCGAAACAGCCAAGAGATGTGCAAGTACTGAACAGTGTCAGTGATATTACCGAGTGCTAGTTTTACTTATTAAAAAAAGAAAGAAAAAAATTAGCAAGAATGAATAAACATGTTCAAGACCAGCTGGGGAGTGAGACAGAACTCAGTGCCCAGGAAGAGACGGGTCAGTCCTCAGTTCACTGAAGGCAAGGGTCACACTCTTGGTCGGACACGTTGTGTGAGTGGGTCTCCTTGGACTTTAGTGGCTGGTGCTTCTGTTAATCAGTGAAAATGAGCAGCACCATTACCAACAGTTATGTTAAAGACAGGTTTGGGTACAAGCTGCAAGTCCCTACAACCTTTTCCCATGTTGTCCTTAATGAAACTGGTTTGTCAGTGTGTTTTATCACATCTGAGGGGAAACTCAGGTCAGTGGATCTTTGCCGCCACCTGCCAGACCCACAGAGAACAGAGGTTCATTCATGTGGTGAGACAGTGAACAGGCTCTGGCCACAGCAGCGCAGAACGTCCCCAGCTGAATGACTGCATCTCCAACCATAGCAGCTGTGTCATCCAGGATGTACAGGTCACTGAACAGGTCAGGGGTTTAGAAACAGGTGGTTCAGCTGAGCGTTTTCTCAGGTCAGAAAACCAGCAGCTTATGATTTTATCAAGAAGCCATTTGATTTGATCCAGGGGAACCTACAAGTGCACAAAAACAAAACGCTATGCTGAAACCTGTGTCGACTATAGCCACCTGACTCCCTTCAATTTAAAATTCAACATTTGGAGCCTTGTACAAGCTTCATTAACACCATGTTAAATTGGGTTAACCCTCCAAAAAGCTGCTGTAACTGAGCTCAACTATATTAACACATCTGCATGAAGCTACGGGGGAAGCAGCTGCTTTAAAGTTAAAAGGAGCCTCTAATCTTTAATAGAAAAAAAAAAAAGTCTGCCACATGTAGTTTTGACAATTTATTTGATCCACTTTACTTAAAATCTGCCACAAAAATGGATAAGAAATATTAGACTATATACAAAATCTTTTCCTATTTACAGCAGATCAAGGCCAGCAGCCTTTGAGTAAAATCTAAATGAGATGCCGGCAGTCAGTGTCCGAACATCTCCTGTGAGGCGTAGGTCATGTAGAGGAAGCCGTCCTCATCCTGGTGGTCCTTGTACACCTGGGCCATGGTGAGAGACATGCTGGCCAGCCCAGTCTTGTTGACGAGCAGGTAGAAAGCCTGAGTGGGCAGCAGCGCCATCCTGTTCCTGAGAGAGAGAGAGAGAGACACACAGAGAGACAGAGACAGAGTCAGAGTCATCCTGCAGGCCGTCTGTCAGTGCAGACATCCACTGCTGGAGCTGCACCTCATTCATAGCAGTTTTCAGTTTCACTGGGACTAAACATCCAGACACGTCAGCCTGCTGACCAACTGCTTCAGTTTCCCTCTCGCTGGTAGCAGGAGGCAGAGCCATGATCATCTCAGCTGTCAACACTTTGCCAAACTGTGTTAGATACCCTAAGCTGGATGTTTCTGATAAGCAGTCACCAGCCACATCAACCTGCCTAGTGTGTGTTTGTTGTTTCTTGTTGCTTTTCTTCTTTTGTCTCTCCTCTATCCACTCACCCCAACCGGTCGAGGCAGAAGGCCGCCCACCAAGAGCCGGGGTCTGTCGGAGGTTTCTTCTGTTAAAGGGAGATTTTCCTCCCCGCTGTCGCCAAGTGCTTGCTTGGGGGTGGGGTTTGTTACACTGCGAGGTCCAGACCCGACTGTGTCAAGTGTCCTGATTTGAGGCTATACAAATCAGATGATGTACAGTCATTCCTGGTCCCTGAGGCTAAACCCACTGACACATGCTCCTGCAGGTTCACATTAGTTTCTCAGACACTGAACTTTGGCAATGCCAATAATACCGTGATGCCATCAGTACTTTAAGTTATCGCACCCCAAGGTGAAAGACGACACTTTACCACTTTATGACAAATTAGGCTTCCTCCCAAAAACTCATTTAGTGGCTCAACAGCCCCTGAACTTCAGTGAAACAGGTTCACTGGTCAGTTGATAGAGCCGAGCATCATCTGAAAGGTTTCTAGTGCCGTGTGCGCCTTTCCTTTGTTCACAAGGACCAAGGAAAGCCCCCGTTTCCATGAGTTATCTTTAGACAGTCTAGTGGCCAAACAGAAGAGTCCACCTGACCAAATCTCTGGGATAAAATGAGCCGTTGCAGAAGAACAAGTCAGAAACCAGTCAGTCACTTTCACTGCTTCGAAGCCCAGGGTCAGAAACCAGTCACTTTCACTGCTTCGAAGCCCAGGACTCTCTACCTCAACGAGTCTGATACCCAGCTGTATTTTTCAGCTTCAGCCAGTGACGCCAAGGTGCCAGTTTGACCCGTCATGTGGAACAGGTCCATTACACCACGTCCTACCCCCAGCAGCTGACACCGTCTTAAGACACTGTACTCCTGCACCAGTGAAACAGTGTTGTCAACTTTCTGTTGTGTAATCATGACAGACAAAAACAAGGAAGCTGCCAGAATCTGGAGGTTTAAAAACACTGAAGGAGTCGGACTCAGAGCAACAAGGGCCACACGTCTCTGCAGACAACGTCACCTTTACATGACGTCACTCTCTTACATTGATTAAGGTCAACGTTCAAGCACCTGATGTTGTACAGATGCAGTAGATTCGTCTGTTCAGATCAGAGATGGCTGCCTGCACAACCGCGGTTCAGTGTTGACGCTCGGCCCAGTAGCCAATTTAATACCTTGTCAGACATCTGCAGGACATTGTCCATTTACAAAATGGTCCCTAAAAAAACCAGTTGACCTTAGTTCATTGTCCAGAGGAACATTGTTTTTATCGTCAGTAGTTTCAGTGCCCCAAGCCTAAACTAAATTAGGGTCACCGCTGTGCTGAGCCCTCTCAGCCTTTACATATAGAAGCAGAACCCTGCATGGAGACACCAGAGCACAGCGATTCTCAGGCCTGTCCTGCCAAACTACAGTCAAGTTCATTTAACAGCCATTTTAAATCCAGTCTGTTCAAAAGCTGAATCACTCTGAGCACAACTTTAGTCCATGTGTTTACATTTCTTTCAGTCCAACACACAGACAGACAAGACTGGACTTTGTTCTTTCAGTTCAGATAAAGAAATGTCCAGGTATAACAAACATGACGTCTGGTAATCAATCACCACACCGGGTCCAGGGAAGTGATCAACTCCTCAAGACATGTCAAGGGACTGGACAAAGTTGAGAAGTCTCCTCTGGCTGTTTGACTTGTCCAATGGCAGATTGTGTAACAGTTGACAACATGTGGACCAACACCAGAGACAAGCAGCAGAAACTGGGAATTAACAAGTTTCAGAGTGAAGTCTGGTGGGTTTTTAACCTGCATTTCCAGCAACGCAGTGTCCCTACAGCTCATAAGTCACTAATGAAAGCCTGACCAGACTAGTAGACTTTATTACTACTAGCATTTTTTTTTTCCAATGCCTGACAAAACAGTTCACAGTTGAGTCTTTTTCTATCTGACTTAGCTTTAAAGCTACAGACATTTTCCAAACAGTGACAAACTGTTAGAGCTGTATGAATTGAATGACACTTTATTATAGACTCAAGGTCCAAGTTCAGAACAAAGACATTAAAACAGTTAAAGAAACAAAACGAGACCCATAAACTGTCCCTTTAAAAGACAGGCATACCAGTGTTTCCAGAGAGCAGAAATAAAACGCACATCACTGTATGCAACATTAGTCAACAATAAAATATGATTTTCAGAACCATTCAAGCGACAGATACATTTAAACAAATTTCTTAAAAATAGCGGGAAATGTACCAATTCGAGATGACAAACAATTCGCTAGCCTTCGTCCATCTAGGCCTTTTGAATAATATCGTTATGGCGTCATAAGCCACTGACAGTTTCTGAAGACTGCCCTTTTTATAGTTAGACCACAGATGGGCAGTGTACAAGGAATACAATAAGCTTTAAACAAAGCCAGTTTTACTCCCACCTAGCATTAGCCAAACGTCCGTGCCAATACATTAGCTTGTACATAGAACATGTGGCCCTGCTGATATATATCCCTGTCAGACAATCACTGACGACATGACTCAAGTACTTAACGTATTACACAGTTAAAATATTACCAGATAACTTAAAAGGAAATACAAGGGACCTGTCCTCGTTTGTACAGCATATCATAATGACATTTTTAACAGCATTATACTTGACATCGTGACGTTCCCCAAACACTGAGCACACGTTCAAGAGCTGCTGAAGACCTGCTGAACTGGGACTAAAAATCACAAGGTCGTCTGCATACATTAAATGATTCACAACTATACCACCGACCATACATCCCGTTCTGCACATATTTAACTCTTTAGAGAGATCATTCATGTAAAAATTAAACAAGATTGCTTTGGAGGCATCTAAGAAGCACATAAATACAGAAGAGTTTTTACTTTTATATTTACTGACCAATTCTTCTAGGGCAAATATACACATGTCAGTGCCATGGCTAGTTTTAAACCCAAATTGGTTTGCAGTAGAGCTAATTAGATTGTGAAACCCATTCAAAAGAAGTTCAGCAACTTTTGAGAGAATATTAGCAAGTGCAATAGGTCTATAATTCTAGGAGCTGCCCACCTTCCCTGCTTTATCCTTGACCATAGGAACCAACAGTACTGACATCATAGAGTCAGGCAGAAACCAGTGCATAACAGAGGCAGTGAAGCAAATGGCTAGAAGAGGGGACAACCTGAGACTGGTGTACTTAGCTGAAACTAAATCAATTCAATGATCACCCCAGTCCAAACTTTATACTTGTTACGTTCAGCTCCCAAACTGTGATCACCATCTTTTTTTTTTTTGGTCTGATCACTTAACTTGTTCCGTTTCTAACTGCTGGCTGGACAAAAACGGACTTCATGAAGTTGTAAAGGACATAGTCACCATTTTGACCTTTTGTAAAATGAGCCATTGATCAGAAAGCCAGAAGCACATTAATAACACGCTTCCTTAATAATCAGCCCGACGCCGTTTCACTTCAGAACCTCACCTGATGATGGTGACGAACTGAGCCATGGTGAGTTCGTGCGGCACCAGGAACTTGGTTTTATCCAGCGGAGGTAGATACTTCTCCCGCTCGTAGCGCTCGATGATCACCTGCGAGGAGCCGGAGACAGGTGAGAACATACACGAACACCCGAGGGGGTCATTCTCAGTGTTTTCCATCACCAACCCACCGGGATCTTGTTGGGGAACTTCGCCCGTATCCCTGCCACCTCCTGTCTCCGTGTAGCTGTGCAGAGAGAAGAGACACTCAACCAGACTGTGAACGTTTCCAAACCAGCTTTCTGACATGTTTCTGCTGCTGGAGACATTTACCGAAGCTTTTCCTCTGTTTGAAAGGTTTGTTCTGCGGCGCGGTTCTCTCAAACGGAGGCATGGCTGCGTGTGAGCCGTTGTGTGCACGAGAGGCAGCGGCGAGCGCAGGGCTGGATCAGCGCGCGCTCTGGTGCCAGCAGGAGTTAAATAGACAGACGAGGCGGCTGTGGCGCATCAGCTGATTAGCACATGGCCGCAGGCACGTCGTGATTCATCTGCAGGGCCCCTCTGAGCGGTGTGTGGCCCCGAGGACACCACCCCCCGTTCCCACCAAATACACCCTAATCCTGCCTGGAAAGGAGAAAGACATCAGATGTCAGGCGGTGTTGTTCCACAAACATGTTGGTGTGTGGTTTGATTAATAACTTCATTTAACTGGAGTTTTGGTTTATTTTGGGCCTTTTGTTTAAGTCCACTTTTTCTCCAGAGGACACAAGGCTGCTCGCTGCCTCCTCCTCAGGTCTTAGACAATGACTTGTTGTACGTGAACGCAGCAGCAGGTTGGACTCTGTTTTTCATCGTGCATTAAGATTTGGCTCCAACCTAAAACCATGAAGTGACCACTGCGTGCTCCACAGTCGGCTGCTGGCCTCCCTGTCTGACTTGCTGGTACATTTGTATTCAGAAACCCCTCATATCCTTACAAAGGTCTCTTACTGGGCTCATCCTGCACCACAGACACTTAACTGCTGTGTTCAGACAGAAGCCTAATGTCTTCTGACACTTGGGATAGTTTGTAGAGGGACATTAAAGAACTTGGCATCACTGAGTCACTTTAAAGCCAATGTAAACACTGCGTTTTCTACCCGTCTCTGTTTTTAAGCTTATTTTAACTTATACAAGTTGCAAAAGAAGTTGCTAACCTTAGTGGCATTTGACCTGGTCAAATAAATACAATTGAAGTTCTGAATCTTCTTTTATGGCAGAGATTAATCGTGGAAGAAACGTATAGGCCTATAAAATGTAAGAAAGATGAACATATAATTTCATGTTTAATTGCTGAACTAGGACTAATTGACCTTGAGTTAAGATTTTCTTGTCAGGCTACGTTTTCTAAGATGAAAATCACAGTGTCGACATTTTAGGGGAGGTTTAATCTTTTAACAGTCCAGTTTCCTCAGATTGTGGTTCTGGTGCACAGTTATACAGGTTTACCCCCAGTGCAGAATGGTTTGATCCAGTAACTGTTTTCACTAGGATCTCATTTCAATCCAAATGTTTTAATGTCTGGGGTGGATATTAAATGTAATATTTTTACAGAATCAACCAGGATGTCGGGACTTTATGGAAAATAAAATTAAATTGTCTTAGCTACTGAAAAAATAAAATCAGCTCTCTAAAAATGATAATTTAGGTCGCGCTCCCTATCTCATTCACACAAATCGTAGTAGTTCCGTGGTGTAACACAAGCTCATCTCCAATTGGATAATTGTATTGTTGTTTATCTGATCAGCCAATGATGTGAGAATATTTACCGTAGTGGGTGGGACTGAGGTGGGTTGACGTCACCTTGCAGGTATGTCAAGCTGTTTCACGTTTTCTGTACAATTAAAAGGTTGCGCCTTCAAAATAAAAGATTTCTTGATATCACCGAGACTTTTTCCCTCTGTATGCCCCGTATTTTAAAACGGACTGTGACAAATAAACGTTTTCATGCAATAGTTGATTATAATTTAATCAATCTGATGTAAAAGATTTATTGTCATTTTACTTAATTAGCGAGAATATCAGAAAAAAGAAAGCTTACGAAGACGATGAGTTTCTTTTTTCTGTTTCACGCAACTGGAAACTAGATCGATCGATCGATCGATTGATAGATAGATAGATAGAGGGGCGGCTGTGGCTAAGGAGGTAGAGCGGGTCGTTTCCTAACCGGAGGATTAGCGGTTCGATTCCCGGCTTGTCCAGTCAACATGTCGAGGTGTCCTTGAGCAAGACACTGAACCCCCAGTTGCTCCCGGTGATGTCACCGGTGTGTGAATGCGTGAGTGCTTGGGAGTGCGAATGGGTGAATGGCCGAATAATGTGAAAGCGCTTTGAGTGTGCTGTAAAAGATAGAAAGGCGCTATACAAGTATAAGACCATTTACCATAGATCGATCTATCGATAGATAGATTGGTAGATAGATCGATCAAAGATAGATAAGCCTACTGTACTGATCCCTAGTGGGAAATTGGTTTGTTACAGCAGCTACAATAACAATGAGACAGGAAAATAATTATATCTACAAAGTAAAACCTTAAGCAAATAAAATAAATAGATTAAAAACCAATAATCTGAAAACAAGAAACTAATAATTAACAAGAAAGACTAATAAATACTACATAAAGTTCAAGTGTGAAAATAAATGTGATAATAAAATGTTGCTGTTAATTACAACATGGGTTACACGCGAGTAATTAATTTAGTTTGCCCACAAATGTTTTATTTCTACCTTATTGCTGCTCGGCTATATGATTTTATTTTGAAAGGGCACACCGGAAGTCTTGTATGACTTCCGGTGGTTCCACGGTTCCTCTTCGTCTGACAGCAGCTTCAGACATGACTTGAACTGCCCACCAGAGAGGACCATTCATGGGCTACATTTGTCTCCGGAGGATATTTTCCTGAAGCGGTTGAGGCCCCCGGACCGAAACCGAACCACATCGCCCTGGTCCGGCCATGGACGAGCAGGCGGGCCCCGGTGTCTTCTTCAACAACAACAACAACTCGGGTCTGCCCGGCGGTGGGAGTATCAAACCTCCACAGACTGGCGACGTCGGCGGCGGAGAGGCGGCCAGGGCTCAGTACAGCATCCCAGGGATTTTACACTTTCTCCAGCATGAGTGGGCTCGGTTCGAGGTGGAGCGGGCACAGTGGGAGGTGGAACGGGCCGAACTGCAGGTAAGCCGCCTCGGCCACCGAGCTTTTCATTGTCGCATATTGTTTTGTTTGCTAGCTGAGCTTCGTCGAAAATATGGAGAACGTTGCACCGAACCCAATTACAGAATTTGGAAATTGATGTTGTGATCGATTGTCGTCGATTGTCTGTTCCGGATAAAGTAATGAATATTGGTTGTATTTAGTCGAGCAGGTCCGTTATTTAATTCGGCGTTGGTTTAATCCAGTAAACAGCGCATTTAGGTGACATTTCTGCCTTTATAGATGATTCGCGCTATTTGTTGCTGTCTTGTGGAATATGTTGGTCTGTACACGACATGACGCACATTCACTATAGTGTAAAGGTGTGTTATTACTCGGACCGCTTTGCTGCTAATTGTAATGCCGAAATAAAGTTCATGTCCGCGTGGATCCACACAATGTGCCGAATACCGTTTCTTATGTTTGTCTGCCAACGTCAAAGAAAACGACGTGGAATTGACAGTTTTGCTTCTTGTTGTAACGTATTTGTAATGTTGTAATGTATTTGTCCGATAATGGACGCATTTGCCTGTAGTGCGTGTAGTCGAGTCACGAAACGTTGGTGCAGATGCTTGAGCTGTAAGTTTGTGTTAGGAGGCCAGCCAAGGCTTTCCTCTCATTCTGGACCACAGAGTCTGGTTCAGACCTGGACGCTGTTCACACTTGTTATGAATCATCTAACAACATGCACTTTGTTTTTAAGGGGGGGGGGGCCTCCTGACATTTTAAGGCCATCTAAAATCTGCTGCACAGATGCTGCACAGCATCAGGAAAAGTGGGCTGAGAAGTGCAGTAATTCCTGGAATAAAAAAAACATAATAATAAAATAAATGAATTAGTTTAAAGGTTCTTTGGTTGCTGCTGTTAGAAACATGTCAGTTCAACAGAGTAAAACTGTTCCAGTGGACTACTGTTGAGTGTCTGGTCCTATTTGTGCTCACATGTACTCTGTTCCAGTGGTCTACTGTTGAGTATCTGGTCCTATTTGTGCTCACATGTACTTGTTCTTTGCACTAATAGATTCTGGTCTGAAGAGTTGGGAGCTAAGTGTTGGACTGTTTTTCAAAAGGCCGCCTGTGTTGCTGAGTCTGAAGCCCAGAGCGGTTTCACTGTGAACCTTCAGTGTGGATATGTGGGCATTTATAGATGGCACAGATTTACACCTACTGATACAAACAGAGATGCAGAGCAGCAGCATTAGACTGGTGTGTGTGTGTGTGTGTGTGTGTGTGTGTGTGTGTGTGTACAGCGTAGTTGGTGTTAAAGCGTAGAAACAGTGGATCACTGCTGCGACCAAGGCTAATCCAGTCTGAAGTACGTCAACAGCTACTGGGTGGCCTGGTGTGACAGTTTCTACACATGTTCCTGGTCTTGACAGGAGGACCCTGCTGGTACTTGTGGTCCCCTGACCATTTCATCCATTTCTTTGGTTTTTGACCAAATACCCGCCAAACAACTGGTGTTCCTGTCAGCTGCAGCCGCCCCGTTTTGTGCTGATCAGTGAACATTTGCCTATTGCTGCTTTTGAGATAGATGATCTTTTCTTCTTCTACTGTTTGCATGGCATTCATCAGGGAATCTGACATTCCTCGGCAGTGACGCTGTGCAGGCGGCCCAGACTCTGTTGGAGCCTGCTCACAGTGTGACCTGTAGTGAACGCGCACGGTCGTGGTTTTCACAGTGTGTAGGAGTCCGATGGCTGTGTCTGTTCTGTTGCATTACATAAGTCAGAGTCAGCAGGCGAGCTGCGGCGTGGTGACATACAGGACATCACTTCCTGTGAGCTGATCATGTGTGGCTCCGTTGCATCATTTGCCTCAGCTACTGCAGCGTCCTCTGTGTGTGTGAGGTGCAGAGGCTGTGTCAAACCCACCGTTCCACATAACCGTTTGCCTTCCCGCTGAGCTGGGGGTGGAGCCGGCTGACCGGCTGGAAACCAGTTTCACACGTGACTCCAATTGTTCTGCTGCCGTGTGGTTTGAATGCGCTGCTGCTGAAGACGCACTGCATGTCATTAGTGCCTGAGACTGTGGAGTGTCACTTCCTCTGAGGTGACCCTCTGCAGGGAGAAGGAAGAGGAAACTGCCACTCAAGATGGCTGAGTTTATTATCCAAAAAGATTTGTCTGTGTTCGTCTCCGAAGGAGAATAATGGAGTCAGATTTATTTATTCTTTTCTGTGATTTGACGTCAGGACTGAAGAAATCCAGCTGGGGTTTTAGTCCGGAGATAAAATCAGTGTGAAATGTTTGAGGCTTTGCATCCCACACCTCCTGATCTAGTTGCTGCCAGTTTCCTCCACAAAGATCTTTCAAGCACGTTTCATTTTTACAGGTAAAGCCAGACAGTTGACAGCTCAGGTGTGCAGGGCAGTGATGATGTGAGAAACGCTGGAAGCAAATAGAAGCAGACACGGTAATCTGGTTTCTCTGGGTCTCTGCCCACATCAGGGTCTGGCTTTCCTCCATGACTCCCCCTCTGTGGTGTTAGAGCTGCAGCTAACGCTTATCTTCAGTATTGATTAATCAGCTGATTATTTGCAGATACAGATCCAGTTTGATGTTATAACACAAGCAGTCAGTTCCTTTACAGAGTTCACTGTCGGACAGTACTCTTCAAAACAAAGGGCTGTTTCTGACCCTGGGGGGCTGCTGGGACGTGACATCGAGGTGAAGTCGAGCGTGCGCTCTGTGAGTGCGTTACACACTCGCATTGCTCCGGCTCAGGAGGATGTTTGCCGCTCGGCTTCCTTCCTCTCCGGCCTCGGCTATAATTACACCAGCAGGAGGAGTGAGGAAGCAGCAGCACACACATCCTCAGATTAATGCTCAAACAGAAACCTGATCTGACTGACTGGACTGAGAACAGTTCAGAACCAGAGCAAACCTCAGGATGTATGTTGGAGTGCCACCTGGAGTGCCACCTGGAGTGCCACTCACTGCTGTGTAACACAGTGTGTATCACTGAGCTCGGACACACGTCTTTACTTCCTCGTTAATGCTGTTAATTGTCGATATGGATTGATGTGATAGGATCATAGTTTTGGGCGTATCACACTGGTTACTGCCTGCTCACCTCTGACCTCCCCTTCCATGTCAGGTGTTCATAATGCTGTCGATCCAGAACCTGAAGCTTGCTGCTCTCTGATGGGAAGTCCTCGTGGACGAGAGCGTCAGCCATGAGAAAGCACTCGCAGCACAGAGGGAGCTCCTCCTGTGTAGTACACTACTGCTCTACAGCTTCAGATCAGCCCCATGTCTCCACTTCTTACTGACATGTAAAAAGGTCAAGTCCAGTGAGTGACCTTTCAGTGGCACAAAGCTAAGCAGTAAACACCCCGGGGCGGAAAAAGTCACCAAATCCAAAAGTGTGTTGGACTTCAATATGAACCAGGCCTTAAACACCCCGGGGCGGAAAAAGTCATTAAAATCTAAAACTGTGTTGGACTTCAATATGAACCAGGCCTTGTTCAGGACCCACTAGCAGGTGAACGTTCATCTTCTCTGCAGCAGCAAAGTAAATGAAGCTTTGGAAACTGATGCCAACAGCTCCTACAGGTCCCGACTGTTGTCGGTGACTGACGGCAACAGATTCTGTCTGTACAAAGGCAGAGCCGGATCAGACTGTTACTGCTCCCTCTGAAGATTCGTGTGGAAAAGGCCATGAGCACAGGGAGTCAGAGCTGCTCAGGGTTTCACCCTGTAGCAGGAGGAGGAGCTACAAACAGCTCCAGGCTGTGGACCAGGACAGAACGGTGACGGACCGGCAGCACAGGGTCCACACTTTCCAGGTGAGGAGTGAAAGCAGAGCAGCCGACAGGTGCAACATCTGTGGAACATCTGCAGCAGGGCTGTCTGTGCCGGCATTGTCCGACTTCAGCTGTAGAGACATAGATGTGCAATGTTGGAGGTGGATCAGTACATAACTGCACTTTTACAATTAAGAATCATTTTCTCTGAACGCGTGTACACACCGAGATGGAGGGGGAGCTGATGTACACGTGCATGTGCACAGTCTGCTGGAGCATTGAGTAATTCTCCTGCTCCTAGTTTTCCACTGCCCTGTTTCTGCAGCCCATTTCCATCACTAATTAAATGATATTTCCACTCAGCACACAGATGTGTCCTGCTGCTCTGTGTGTGTTTGTATGTCTGTGTGTAGAGGATTGATATACTTACCTGTATGTGCACGCAGCCAGTTTGACACGTGGTTCACATTCCTCCATACCTGCACACAGCCTGTGCAGCTCTGCCCATTAGGCGTCACTCCAGGTGGTTGTTGCACCTGATTTACATTCAGCTTGAGTTTGTCTTCAGTTGTTTCCTGTGGACAGTGGTGGTCTGAGGAGACGACCTCGACAGAGCAGCACGGGGACATTCAGAGTGGTCTGAGGAGACGAACTCGACAGAGCAGCACGGGGACATTCAGACAGATGAGTTGATGCAGAGATGATATTCAGCTGCTGTAGTTTCTAAGCAGTGGGCTGTTTCTGTACAGGTCAAACACTCCTGCTCAAAACCCCTGAAATAAACATGCTAAGCAGAGGTAACTGTTTCTCTGAGTGTACTAGACTCGTTTTGTTTCACTGCTCTACCCAAGTTGGTGCTGGTTGTTATCAGCAGTAGGTGCACAGTGCAGCTGACCACCGTTTCTGTCCACAGTTAACCTGCTGCTAATGTTTTCAGATGAATCCTTAGACGACAGAATCCCAGGAAACGGTGACAACTACCTGTGATACATGGACGATTCCCACAGACGGCCATGTTTCATCTGCCCAACTTGATCCAGATTAGCATCACATCCTCATAACTGAGAAGACAAACCATTATTTGATCTAAATAGTTACCAACTGATTTTTCTGGCTGTTGTCTCATTGATCCTTCGACTCATCTTTGCAGGTCTAGATTATTTCTGTATTTCCCCACAGTAGGTTATAAATGGAACCTTTGAACCTGACTTAGAACTTAATGAAGTGTGTGGCCT